AGCCCTTTCCCTGTTGCCTGCCGAGCCCAGCTCACACTGTGGCTAGTGAGAGAGAATCCAGACATGGTGCAGGTCAGGCTGAGGGTCTCTCCTGGCTTCACGACCCCTGGGCCGGACTCCTTCATCGTGACCTGGGTCAGGATACCTAATGGAGAAAAATGCAGCATTAGCAAATGGACAATCTTCTACCAGTCCCACTCTCATCCTGCCTCTGTGTACCCATCAGCTCCTAGCATAAGAGACACTTAGCCAGTGGAGCTGCCAGAAGGATGAGCAGAGCCAGTGCTGGTGTCATGGTCATTGTGGCTGATGCCCGGTGTCCCCAGCAGACAGGAGGTGGCAGCTCTGGGGAGACACTGCGGTGCACAGAGCCCGGGCTGGTGTTTAAGGAGGGACCTTGCATGTGTTGAGCAGGAAGTTGGGCAACAACATTTGCATGTGCTTCTTTTATAAGGACCTTTCACACAACACACACAAGATAGATTTGGCTGTTGACTCCCAGGGTTTTGAGAGCCAAGGGGAAACCTGGAAATGGGGAGTCGGCTTTGTTACTGTACCAGACAAATGGTACAGTAAACAGGAGCCTCGGGGAACAAATAGACATCTAGAGGAGTTGCAGATTGTGTCTCCGGCTGGATTTTATCAAGGCAAAACCTCCCATGGTCTGCGACTTACCTTCTCTCCCAGGGGAAAATCCAGGAGTCCTGCCAGGGAAATATCTCCCAGGGAAAAATCCAGTGTCTCAGTGAAGGATGTGTCCATGCTACTTCAATGTGCAGTCAGTGGACTGAGCCCCAGCAGCTTGGGGGTGCCTTACCTTATTCAGAGAATCCCTGTCCTTGGGTAGAAGTGACAGCTTGTTCCATAGCAGCTGAGGGAGTGATACCACCAGAATACAAAAATCTAATGAAATTGGCTGCTCTTTATTTCAGGTGGAAGGAATCCCAGTGTGTGAGGGTTAAATGCTGTGAATTTGCTTCATGTCTGGGAAACTGGCTATCATTAGAACTGGGCAAATGAGGGAAATGAGGAAAAAACAGAGCATAAAAAGACCTCCCTTTCCTAAGAGGGCAGTTGGTCTTTCATGGTTGCTTTGTGCTTATCTCTGCCCATGCATGTATGCTGATTGTTTCTGCCCCCCGGTGCCTGTGCGTGCCGTGGAATGCTGCATGCATACATCCAACATGTCCATCTGTATCACAATGTGTGGATAGGCACGTGTCTAGTATAGGAGAAGGGCCCAGTCCATCAGGGATACATCCAGCCATGCACAGATCCTGAGCTGGGGGAGAACTCAAACCCCTGGTTGCTAAAATCCTTTTGTCTCCTGTGGAAAACCCGAGTGGCCCAGGGTGGTTAACGTTTTGGAGCCTAGTACTACAAAGCTGCATAAAGCCCCAGGCCCTCGGTGTCTGGAGGCCCCCTGGAGTAGCTCAGGCTTCCCCAGGGCTTTTCCCCTCTACCTTCAGGGAATGGGCAGTGCCGAATGTTCGCTTGACTGCTGCATGATGGGGAGAGCCCATCCTGCCCTGTGCATGTACAGGCAGCAGGTGGCTGGGGCTGGGTCCAGTCCTATCAGCATCCTCTTGTTGTGCTGTGGTCTCCTGCATCTCCTCCCAGCAGTCCCTGTGTTGATCTCTGCAGCTGTACCCAGGGCGGCTTCATTCCTGGTTAGTGCTGTTATTTAATGTACCTGTTGTGTATTTTTTTTTTTGTATTGTTAATAAACCATTCAATATGTTTCAATTACACAACAGTGTGATTGCTCATTGTACAAGCATTTGCTGGATTGATACAGTGATGATAGATATGTCTGGTCAATTTGTTAGCCAAGAAACACCACACTTGGAACCAGACTATTTGGTCAGCTGTTAATTGGAGAGTACTAATTAAGTCCAGGACCAACATCAGGACTACAGAGCTGTGTCTCTAGTCCTGTGACAGCACAGCAGTCTGCTGGCCATTGCCTGAGTCCTGGGTGCCAGCCTAGGGAGTCTTTGCCTTGTATTCCTGCAAAAAGGACAGGCAGAGCAGGGGGCACGAGGAAACAAGACTCCTGGGTCCTTTTTGAATTTCAGCTTCTGACCCACTGATCACTTCTGAGCCTTCCCTGTGTTTAATCCCTGGCTGGTTCAAGTGATCTAAAAGGCCTGATGTGTCCAACCTGGCAGGCAGTGGAGCATGGGGCTGGCACCTGCTATCTGCTGCTCACACAGGCAGGGCAGGTCCTGCAGGGCTGGTTTTTGTGCACGCTCTCATGCATTTTCATAAATTGTGTCCCTGGCACAGTAATACCGGACTGTGTCTACAGGTTGGACCCCGGTCAGGCGCAGGTGCACTTGGCTGCTGGACATGTCTCTGCTGACAGTGAGGAGGCTTTGGAGAGTGCTGTTATAGTTAGTGCTTCCATCGCTCCAGATAACTCTGACCCACTGCAGCCCTTTCCCTGCTGCCTGCCGAACCCACTGCACATCATAGCTAGTGAGAGAGAATCCAGACACAGTGTAGGTCAGGCTGAGGGTCTCTCCAGGTTTCACAACCCCTGGGCTGGACTCCTTCAGCATGACCTGGGCCAGGATACCTAATGGAGGAAAATGCAGCATTAGCAAATGGACAATCTTCTACCAGTCTCACTCTCATCCTGCCACTGCATCCCTTGGTCCAACAAGACAGGAGACACTTACCCAGTGGAGCTGCCAGAACGATGAGCAAAGCCAGTGCTGGTGTCATGGTCATTGTGGCTGATGCCCGGTGTCCCCAGCAGACGGGAGGTGGCGGCTCTGGGGGACACTGAGGTGCACAGAGCCTGGGCTGGTGTTTAAGGAGGAACCTTGCATGTGTTAAGCAGGAAATTGGGCAACACCATTTGCATGTGCTTCTTTTATAAGGACCTTTCACAGATCTCACACAAGGTAGATTTGGCTGTTGAATACAGGTTTTTAGAGCCAAGGGGAAACCTGGAAATGGGGACTTGGGTTTTGTTACTGTACCAGACAAATGGTACAGTAAAGCAGGAGCCTGGGGGAACAAATAAAGACCTAGAGGATTTCCAGATTGTGCCTCTGGCTGGATTTTATCAAAGCTAAACCTCCCATGGTCTGGGACTTCCTCTCTCTCCCAGGTAAATATCCCGGAGCCCTACCAGAGAAAAAATCTCCGAGGGAAAATTCCAGTTTCTCAGTGAAGGATAGGTCCATGCTACTTCAATGTGCAGTCAGTGGACTGAGCCCCAGCAGCTTGGGGGTGCCTTACTTTATTTAGAGGGTCCCTAACCTTTGGTAGAAATGACAACTTGTTTTATAGCAGCTGAGGGAGTGATACCACCAGAATACAGAAATCTAATGAAATTGGATGCTTTTTATTTCAGGTGGAAGGAATCCCAGGGTGAGAGGATTAAATGGTGTGAATTTGCTTCATGTCTGGGAAACTGGCTATCATTTCATAGATTTCTTAGACATTCTTCCCCAGGATAAAAATCAGGCTGATGGGCCTATAGTTAGCTGGATCCACTTTCCTCCCTTTCTTGAAGATTGGCACCACATTGGCCTTCTTCCAGTCTTTGGGCAGTTCACCAGAGCCCCAGGAGTTCTCAAAGATCCATGCCAGGGGCTGGGCTATGACACTTGCCAGCTCCTTGAGTACCCTGGGGTGCAGATTGTCAGGCCCGGCTGACTTGAAGGTATCCAGCTTCTTAAGGTGTTCCTTCACGAGGTCAGCAGTAATGGAGGGCATTTGAACAGGGCATATGAGGGAAATGGGGAAAATAGTGGGCATAAAAATCCTCCCTTTCCTAAGAGGGCAGTTGATCCTTCATAGTTGCTTTGTGCTTATCTCTGTCCATGCACGTGTACTGGGTGTCTCTGCCCTCTGGTGCCTGTGTGTGCAGGGGATGCTGCATGCATGGATCTGGTGTGTCCGTCTGCATCACACTATGTGGATGTGCACTCATCTGGTCTCTGGGATAGGTGAAGGGCCAGGTCCATCAAGGATACATCCTGCCATGGACAGATCCCGAGCTGGAGAAAGGCACCAAACCCTGGGGGCCTATGTCTTTTGCCTCCTGCGGAAAAGCTGAGTGGCCCAGGCTGGTTAACCCCTTGAAGCCTAGTCCTACACAGCTGCATAAAGCCCCATCCCCTGGGTGTTTTGAGGCCTACTTGAGTAGTTCAGCCTTCCCCAGGACTTTCCCCCTCTACCTGCAGGGTATGGGTCCTGGTGCAACTGCCCTTGCATGCTGCATGATCGGGAGAGCCCAGGGCTGGGGATCCCATTCTGCCCGGTGTGTGTACAGGCTGCAGGAGGCTGGGGCTGGGCCCAGTCCTATCAGCATCCTCCTCTTCTGCTGGGGTCTCCTGCAGCTCTTCCCATAAGTCTCTGGGCTCGTCTCTGCAGTTATGCTCAGGACTGGCCCTGCTGCTGTGTGGCATGGAGATATGGCCCATGGGCTTGGTCACATCAGAGCAGGAGGCAGTGAGTTATCATGCAGGAGGGGGGTCATGCGGTACCACCAAGGAGCCATGTCCCTCCCTGGCCCCAGGACCTGGGCCCAGAACCTGGTTAGGGCAGACTGGACATGACCCCTGAGGAGAGGCGGACGTCCCATCACCCCTTTGTGTTAGAAGCCAGGGCTGCACAGGGATGCAAGCCCCCGCCCCAGTGCCCAGGCCTGCAATGGGCCTCAAGGGTCTGGGAGGGCCTGGCTTTGCTTGCCTCCATGTCCCCAGCTGAACCCTGTTTCCTGTCTGGATCCAGGTGACAACCCTGGCCCGCACGGTGAGGTTTTAGGACAGAGTCACTGAGACTCCCTGGTGCACCCCCTGCAAGTACAGTTGACTTCTTGTTTAGTGTCCTGTCCTCCCTGGTCCCACTTGGCCCCAGCTGCTGGGATCTGGGACTGTCCTGGTCTGACTACAAGCACCCACCAGCCAAAGGCTGCAGCCCAGCACTGCCCCTCCCTGTGCCACAGCTTGGGGGTGTTTCCCAGGGTGTGAGTACTGGAGAAGTCACATCCAGCCTGTCTGGGGACGGTGCAAGCAGACCTGGCCCTGGCTGTGTGAGGCGCTAGGGCAATCCCCCAGAGCCTGGTGTCTCCCGGCTGGCTGCCTCTGAGCCGGCTGCTGCAAGGAGCTGGGTGGGTGCTCTAGCCAGGTCCCCGCTGCCCAGCTGGGCAGGGAGCAGGTGCTCTGTGTTTCCCCCCTGTGCTTTATTTTTGGTGCCCATGGCAGGGGCTGGAGCCCAGAGGCAGGAATGTGCCTGGGGTGGGTGTCCAGCTCCACTTCAGCTGTTTGTTCAGGCAGTGGCTGCTTCTCACTGCTGGCCATGAGCTGGCAGGAGATTTGCTCAGAAGATTTTTGTATTGGGTGCAGCTGGATTCTGATCACCATGGGCTTCACACAGTGATACCAGGCCCTGTCCTCAGCTCTCAGCTTGTTCTTCTGCAGGTACAAGGTGTTGCTGGAGCCATCTCTGGAGATCTTCAATCGCCCCTTCACTGCAGCACTGTTGTATGGGGAGAGATTACTGGTAGCAGCATTTATACTTGTTTTTATTTATTCCAGCCCTTTCCCAGGAGACTGGCAAGCCCCGATCATAAACAAGTTGATGAAGGTGGACGCAGGGACTTTGCAGGAGAAGAGAGGCACAGAGACACTGCAGGCTTCCTCATGTCCCCTCCAGACTCGACCAACTGCACGTGGGACTTGGCACCTGGGGAGAAAAGAGCATGATTCAGGATCCTCTGCCTGCCAGCCTGTGCAAGAGCCCACAGAGCCACGGGGCCGCTCAACGTCTATCAGACCTCAACGGAGCAGAGAGCAGGGCCTGTGGCACATCAGCCCATGCAGGGCCCTGCCCCCACTCTGATCCCATGGGCCCTGGATCTGGAAAAGCAGTTGGAGGGGGTGGGAAGGGCAGCGAGTGGCTGGATGCAGCGCTACTGCTCTGTGCAACTTGGCATCACCGCTGCTTTGCCCAGCTCCATGGGGTCCCCCAAAGCACAGGGCCTGGGGCAATTGCCCCCCACCCCTCGGGGCAGACCTGCTGTTGATTTCCATTGGCCTTTGTATCTGGTGAGTATTGCATGTTGCTTCCTGGGTCTGTACACAGAACTGTAGGAGGTTTCATAGGTTTAATATATTTCATAGACATTAGGGCTGGAAGGGACCTCAGAAAATCATTGGGTCCAGCCCCCTGACCCAGGGGTAGGAAGTCAGCAATGATCAAAGTATCCCAGCTAGATAAACATCCAAACATTTCTTAAAAGAGTCCAGGGTAGGTGGTTGTTTGTGGGTGAAGTCTGTTAGAAACTCTGGGGACTCGGATGGTACAGAAGTTTTTTCTTATGTCTAGCCTAAAACGGTGTGTGAGGAGTTTGTGATGGTTAGACCTTGTCTTCCCTTGGGGTGCCCTGGTGAACAGATGGTCTCCCAGTTTCTGATGCAAAACCCCTTGTGTATTTACTAGCACGTTGCCTGTCAAGAATGACGGGGGAGTGGGGGGCAGGGGGGGCAGGCAGAGAGAGAGGCCTGCATCTGGCCCCCTACCCCCTCCTCCCTGCCTCAGGCCAGTGTCGGGGGCACTTCCTGCCTCCCCCCTGCCACTTCTGGCTGGGGCGGAGGCTGTTCTCCCCCCTCCCGCCTGCCAATTTGGGTGGGAGTCAGGGCTGCTCCCCGCCTCCACTTCAGTGTGGGGCTGGGGCTGGGGCCGGGGCTGGGCCTGCACTTGTGGCAGTGGTTGCAGCAGTGGTCACAGCTGCAGTGGTGTTTGCAACAGGACACAACCACCAGTCACCCCCCTCCCCTTCCTGCTCTCCTCCCCTCCTCTTCCACACTGCCTCCCTCTCTCCGCCAGCTGTTGTTGGAGGTGGGGGGCGCTCCAGCCCCTGGAGAGCTGATAGAGCAGATAAGGTGCTAAACTGGGCCCCAGGGAGCAAGAGCACAGTCTATAGCTGTGCCCCAGCCTGCCAGTCTGACCTCAGGCTGGTCACGGGTTTCATAGATTTCTAGGCTCGGAAGGGACCTGGTCGAGCATCCGGTCCGACCCCCTGCTCCAGGCAAGAAAGAGTGCTGGGGCTAAGTAACCCCAGCCAGATGCCTGTCTTGTCTCTTCTTGAACACCTCCAAGGCAGGGGAAAGCACCACCTCCCTTAGAAGCCTGTCCCATATTTTGGCAACCCGTACCATAAAGAATTTCTTCCTTATGTCCGATCTAAATCTATTCACCTTCAGTCTGTGGCCATTATTTCTGGTAACCCCAAGGGGTGCCCTGGTAAACAGAGTGTCCTTTATTCCTTGCTGAGCCCCGACAATGAGTTTGTAGGCAGCCAAAAGGTTGCCTCTCATCCTTAGCTTCCCCCCTGCCCTCCAGTGTGTTTACTATACCCCATAGTTTAGTGTCAATAACAAATTTGGGGAAGGTGCTTTCAATAGCTTCATCCAAATTACTGATGAAGAAATTAAACAGTACTGCTCCCCCTTGGGGGACCACTGCTCACATCCCTCCAGGGAGAAACTGAGCCATCCACCACCACTCTCTGGGTGTGTCTTACAAGCCAGCTTTTTCACCCACCTTATGGTGAAAAAATCCACATTACAGCTACTCAGTTTGCTCGTAAGAATTGGGTGCCACACTGTGTCAAAAGCCTTTTTGAAATCCAGGTACATAATGTCTACTTCCACTCCTGCATCTAAGCG